GGCTCTGGCCAGGAAGTGCTGTTCAGCGGCCAGCGTGCGAACTGGAGGACGGTGTCCAGCCCTGGCATGTCTGTGTCTAGCCCAGGCAAGTCCCTGGGGCTTGGCTGTGTGGAGAGGTGGGCTCCATGTTCATTCTCTCTCTCTCTCTCTCTCTCTCTTTGGGCAGGTGTTCTCCACACCTCTGTTGTCCTACTCACTGAAATGTGTGAGAGAAGCCCAGACATGCTCGCCCACTTTAGAAAGGTCAGTCCTGAACCTGCTGCTCTGTTCCTGTCGGCAGTGCGGAGGGGAGCCTCTTGACTCAGCGGGGGGGGGGGGGGGGGGTTTCCAGGTGCTGTGTGTGTGTGTTGCGGGACAGCAGCAAATGCTCGGTCTAAGCCAAGGGCAGAACTGTTGCTTGGTTGACCCTCACCCCACCCCCTACCCGGGACCTGAAGCCTCCCCTCTGTCCTGCAAAGTGTCTCTCTTGCTTCTGCTCCTGGAATAGGGCAGACATCTGCCTTCTTGGTCTGCGCAAGACCCAACAGTGAGAAGGGGGGTGGGTGGCTTCATTTCCTCCACTCTGGACTGATGGAGGGTTGCCATTTCTCCAGCTGCCTAACCTCTGCCGGCCCCCTGGGTCTCCTCTGGCAGAAAGGACCTCTGCCAGAAGCAGCAGGGGAGGCGATGAAACCGTCATCCCCCCCCCCACCCCACCCCGGTGTGTGCTTCTTTTGTCGCCTTGGTTGCCCTTCCCGCCCAGTGCCGTTGTGGCGGTGGTGGTGGCGGTGGTGGTGGAGGAGGAGGATGCTGTGAGCAGTCTCCTTGGCCTAACGCCTGCTTCATCTCTTTTGTCCTTTCTCTCTGTTTGGAACCCTGCTGTGTGTTAGAATGAGAAGGTAAGAGGTGCTCACTCTTCTACCCCTTCACGTGCATGCTGGCCTTGGGCCTGTCGGGGGGGCCTCTGCTTATGGCACTAATGCTGCAGCTTGCCTAACACGCTTGTGGTCAGCTCAGTTAAGGTCCTAATGAAGCCGCTTGCAGTCCGTCCCCTTGTTGAATGGCTCCGCCAGGGTTGTCGGTGGGGTCTCTGGCAACTCATGCTCGGGTAGGGGAAAGCCACGTTCAGGGATGGGGGAGTGGGGTCACGAAGGTGTTCCTTTCCCCATGGGGGGTGTGTGTGAGGTCTCTGGCCCATGGAAAGGCTGCCTGGGGTTTGTACACCTTGCTGGCTGTTGCCCACAAGGCAGCATCCCCTCCCTTCCCCTTGTCCTCCCCGGCAGAGAAGAGCCCCCCCCCCCCCCCGAGAGGGCTGTCAGCCAGTTCAGAGGCCCGATGACTGCCAGGTTTTAGCGTAATACGCCCCTTTGCCCCACCATCACATTTTGTCTCTGACACAGAGTATGGGAAGAAGTGCAGGGTCCTCAAGAGAGCAGCTTGAACTTACGCAGGCAGGGAGGAGGGTGGGCTTCTCTAGGACCCCCTTCGGTGAAGTTAGGGCTGAACTGTGACTTTCTACCAGGCTCTCAGGATGAAACAAAGCCCTATGCCTGTTAGCTGGCATTATTTATTAAGTCAGGTATTTGTGTCCTGCTTCTTTAGGGTTTTTTTAAAAAATCTCAAACAGCACTGAAAAATAAGACCATCGTGCAAAAATTTAAATCAGCATAAAATGTTCTCTCTCACAGTGGAAAAGAAAACTGTCAGTAACACAGCTGGACCAGCCAAGCTTGAAGGGTCACGAGTGGCCTTGTGGTCCCAGAGTTGCCTCTCTGGTGGGAGCCCAGCTTGCCCCTCCAGAGGTGCCACGCCTGACAGCAGGGCTGATGCTGTGAACTCGGGCAGATCACGGGCAGGGAGGGCTGCCTCCGGGCTTCGTTCTTGTGGCCCCTTTCTGGCACGCCCGGGGAAAGGCCAGTCACCACTTTGGGGCCAGGAAGGAATTTTCCTCCAGGCCAGTTTGCCCCCCAGTGATCCTTGAGGTTTTTTGTCATCTTCTGGGCCTGGAACAGCAGTCACTGGGGTGGGTGGG